CACCCCCCCCTAGTGGCGACTCGCTTCGCTCGTCGCATCGCGAGAAAATCGTTCATCAAATGACGCTCGTACAATGAGGTAAATCAGATCTTAGCATCACCCTTCGCACTTCAAAGGCTGTCAGACCTTGCAGTATAGACTTGCTAACCGTAGCAGTTCATGCTGCATGCAACCCTAGGGCTTATTCCGGGGGAAAGAACCGGCTTGGCTGGCGCGCTACTAGGACCCTATGAGGGCCATGGTATGACCCCAGGCCTCACGTCCGAGCGAGGGTTCCATAGAAGGTGCGCACGACGGTGGACAATGAGCGGTGTAGACGGCCCTCGCTCGTAAATCAGCGAGGACTACCGGCGGCCTTAAAGTTCGGTGTATATTGTGCTATAGAATGGTGAGTAAAGAGTATGAAAGATGTTGAGAACGACGAACAAGCCTGCGCCTTCGTTCCGTGACCGCACCAACTTCGACCAAGTGCCTTTCGCGGCATAATTGAGTGTGCTTGCACGGAGATATCATTCACAAGCGCAGCTGGAACGGCCATCGGCAAGTCATCGAGTTCGTGAGCGTGCCGAGATGCGCGTACAGCAGATCGTATTTGTAGTCCGCCCACGATACGGCGTGGGAGGACGAGATGCATGCAGGTGAGCAGGGAGGCTGAACGTTCGGTTCACGGCGGGCTTGACGGTTGACACGCCCCGTGATACAATCCGCGCAAAAGCAATTCGGAAGTCATCGGGTAATCAAGAGCTGAGGAGTGACATCAATGGGGAGAAGGGCTAGGAGGTGAGGGACAAAGACAGGTTGTTCGCCATTGTCGTGGTCGCAAGAGCGAAGTTAGCCCCGTCGCTCGTGGCGCATATTTATTGTGGCCCGAGTGCCGGGCGCAACGCTCACGGTTGTTGCTTCGTCGCTCTTCGTCGTTGCGACTCTTTCTCTCTCGGCGGCCATCACGGAATAGGACCGAAGCTTGAATCAGAATGGCGTAAGATAAGCTGCACTTGGCCTCGCTACTCGACTAACGGACTCGCGCAAGATTTGTGGATGCCGTTCTTCTCGTGTACCTATAAGCCGGGCGTTCCAGCGCTTTTCCCATGTGCGAACGGTACTGCTCGGGTTCCGTTCTATCAAGAGTCACACAACCTCCTCGACAGTCTCCCACCGCTTGCATGGACCACTCGATTGGGTGATACCCAGTGCCTCATGTGCGTGCACCGTGTGAGTTGCCTGTCGCCTTGTTACATCTATCCACAGACTCGAGGTGACGCTGAAGAGTAGGCATATGGTCTAGGCATACGGCGTCGCAGGACGTTTCTTCATCCGACCTTCTGGGTTGGTTCTCCTTGCAGAGTGGGCTTCTCGATGTAACACAATTCTACTTCAATCATTGGACATCACCCGTCCCCGCCTTCGTCATATTCAGGCTCTCCGGGATCACATCGGAAGCCCGCGCATCGTACTGGCGCATCATATGCACCGTCGGCGGCTGGTTCGGCTGGCAACCTATTAAGCTTCGCGTGGCGCATAGG